GAGGTTGAGGGGCGCCTTCAGCGGGGCGGTCGTGAAAGGGATCTGTGGCCGTGTCGAGAGTCTTACGGGGGCTCGCCTGAGGAGGAGGGCGGGTTTGCTGAGGGATAGCGGAGATGACGATTTTTCCTACGCTTTCACCCAGCTTTGAACACTTGGGTTTCATCTCTAGTATCGACTAAAAATGAGGAACAAGCGTACTTCTAACAAGTCTTGAACCTTATTTCTTATTTTAGAATGAAGGAGCTTCTGATGGGGAGGTTTAAGTTTCCTACAGGAAAGCTTTGTGAATATTTGCAAGGCACGGCTATAGCAACAGGAGGGGAGAACTTCTGTTCTTACGCTAGTTATTTTAAAGCTGAATGGAAAAGGTTGTCTTTTCAGAAAACACTAAAAGTTCATGGCTCACAACCACGTTTCTTTATTTACTGACTGCTAGGTGCAGTCCACAAAATGCGTATTTTATAATTCACATATAGTAAGTAGTTTCCTGTATCAAACTGGATTGAGCAATAAATACGCTCTGGTCTGAAATTCTTGAAACTTTCCTCACAGCTTTTGAGCTATGAAAACTTTGTGCAGTCATGACACGTGTAGAAGTGGATGTAATCGCATAAATTCTGAGAGTACTCCAAAAGCTGTAACTTAAAAGTGTAGCATTAAAAGAAACTTCTGTTGGAGCAGTGGTTAAATGGTTGCTTCTACATCACTTGCTCTCATCTTGCTTTCCTTTTTTTCCCCTGACCATCTGCTTCTTCTGTTAATGATATATGCAGTTTTGGAAGGGTCTAAGGCAGGTGACTTCTTGTTGACTTTTGATAGCAAATTAATTGCAGTTGGCAAGTGGGTAGTGATGTCAAACCTGTAAGAACCTGATAACTATGATACATATGCAACAGTGAAAGTATACTTTTCTATACCAGATTGGATGTATACAGCTTTCTAAATATTTACATGTAGAAAGGGTGTGGAACGCATTTTACAGTTTTTCTTCTGTCCCCTAGGCTAGGTATGTTTTTGTTTTGCTAGGCGTGTATGTACTATAGTGGACTAAAATAATATCCAAACACATGGTAATAGCCATCTTTATTAACTGTCCTGTTCTGAGAGCGGGCTTTGTATTATATATAAAAATCCTGAAAAAATTCTGCTTTCTGTGTTCACAGATTTCCTATGCAACGTTAATGATTTTGTTGTTCTATTGGAGCCTGTTAGTTGTGAAACGCCAAGAGCATAAATAGCTGCGAGCAAATGGAGGCACGATCTTGAATGCCCTCTCTTTGGGGATCATGGTAGATCATTTGGAAGAAATGTCGATGGTGATCTTTGTTGCTAGATAGTTAGATCATTCTTTGTACCAACTGGTGCTTCTTCATGACGTTTGGTTTACTTTCCAAAACAAATCATAGAACTCAATAAATGGAATCAAATAGCCTACTATTGGCGGAAGCAGTCATTCAAATATAGAAGAATGGCTTTTTTTTTTTTTTTTTTAAGTGCTGGAGGTGAAACAGGATACTAATTGTTATTAATGTTTGGGGACATAGATTTACTGCAGTATATGCAAAGAGCTCCCCATGCACCGGAACATAAGTTGCACTGGACATGAGCATCATAAAAATTTTTGCTTTGTCTCCCCAGATTCCGTAAGAAGAAGCAACTAGAAATAATCTTTTAGTAAAGGTGGTGTACTTATTAAAAACCTAATGTTAACTCGCTGGAAGACAAAATGCCTATTTACACAGTCCCTGCAAGAAGCCTCTCTGAGGCACAGTGTACTACCGCTTTGCAGAAGACTTCTTCACAGAATACCAGCAACAAAACATCTGGGCAGCAACTGAAATCACAGGTGTCAGGAGAAGAAAAGGATAGTCTACTTTCATGTTCTCAGAATAAGACTGAGGAACTAAATAGGACCTACGTGATTTCAGCCTGTAAAAAAGTGAGTGACACATCAACCACATTTAAACCCGAAGGCAGATTAACACTCCAGAGGAGAACTGGAGCAAGCAAAGTATCAGTGTCCAGTAGTGAACAATTGCATGCAATCGCAACACAGGGCATGGAAAATACACAAATGGAGAAAAAACTTACTCTGCAGAGGCGTGTGAGGACTGGCTCCACAGAGAAGAGTAAAATTAATCAGAATACTGTGCCTGGACTAGAAAATAATGACTCGGCTGCACAAAGAAACTACAAGATTGCACTTCCACCAAATATTAATAAGGATGATACCCATGATGTTAAACCAAGCTTTAAGTTAGCTGAGGGTCAGCCAAGCTCGAAGGTGCAGTGTAACCTGAACAGCAAGGATTCCTTTGGCTTTGTTGATGGTCTGTGTGAAAATGATAGCTGCAAGCGTTTAAAATATAGGACAAGCGCTGCTGACACAAAATATCCAAATGAAGTTCCTAAATCAGAACAACTAGTTACTTCAAAATGTATTAATAGGGTATCGGGAGAACAACTGAATGAAAAAGGCGATATAAATAAGCTAGCTGGAAAGCAAAGGTTGCAACACTTGATTATAAAACATAACGGTTTGGAAAGACCAAGGACACCAACAAAAGGTTCAACAGAAGGGTTTAAGTTTACACCAAAGAACAGCACTTCTCAGGATCAACCATCTCTGCCTGCTTCAAATAAACGAACGCCTCATCTTCAAATTCTAGCCAAAAAGAAAACTAGTGTCTTTGGCTCTCCTTCTGTGAGTAGAAGCTCAAAAACAAAAGAGAACGCAGAAACTCTAGCTGAGAGCAGTAGCGCTGAGAAAGATGTTTTCAAAGTGGAAAACAGCAAAGTGATTGTAGCTGTGCGTGTACGGCCTTTCAGTAACAGGTTTGTATCCTGGACTTATTTCTGATGCTAATAGTAGCTTTTATAGTGTATGTTGATTCCTGCTTTCTATTTTTTGAACTGTTTAATCATTGACCCAATAAGGATGTAATACCTACTTTGAAATTAGCCGTTATTTCATGCAACATCAAGATAAAGATTTTATTAAGAGGTTGAATTCACTTTACGGGTATTTGGGGCTATTTTTTACATATTCATTAGCTGAAGTATTTTGAGCTTGAATACTTTGTATGGTCATCAAACGTTTTTTTTTTAACAACGATTACCAAACTTTTTATTTTCCATAAGGCAGTTGATTGAAATGACTAACTTAAAGCATGTAGCTTATGCGTTTTAATTTTTTAATTGTTTTTCCCCCTTCCATTCAGAGAGAAAAATGAAAACTCGCTCCCTGTAATCTCCATGAGCGGTTCGGAGACAGCTGTACGGAATCCAGCCACAAACCAAGTTTACAGCTTCAGTTATGACTTCTCTTTCTGGTCTTTTGACAAGTGTCACCCTAATTTTGCAAGCCAAGCAATGATTTATAAAACTTTGGCAGTGCCGCTCCTAGAAAGAGCTTTTGAGGGATATAACACTTGTCTTTTTGCTTATGGGCAGACTGGTTCTGGAAAATCATACACGTAAGTTCCTAATAATAACTGCTAAAATTCTGTAGGAGCTAATTGTTATGCAATCTATAGTAATGAAAAGAGATTATATGGAATAGAATTCATAGTTATTGGATTGTGTTAAAATGTTTTTGCATATTTTAAAACAAATTAAAAATAATTAAAACAATATTTATAATAATTGAGATAAAGTTAGCTGTAGAATATTTTTATGTAGCTGACACTGACCTCTTTCTAGGTCTAGTGAAGAAAATAAAAGCTCTTTCCAGAGATTTTAGTGAAGAAAAACCTTTATTAATGCTGAGAGCTTCTTGGGCTCTCCCAGTGCTGCTGTTCACCACTTTATATTATTTTGTGCGTGAAGTGACATGTTCTAAAGTATATTATGTTTTTTGGAAAAGACCTTAGAGATCTTTTATTATGTTTTTTGGAAAAGACCTTTCAGAGATCTTTCCAATTATGGTCCTGACTGTTTCAGAACTTTAAATAAATAAATAAATCCACGTTTGTGGCACTGCTTATTTGACATCTAATCTTTACCCAAAATAATCCCAGACAAATAACGTTTTGAGGGTTTATAGCCAATTTCATATACCTTGTGTATATTTTTCAATAGAATGCCTAGTGAACGGTTTTGTTTCTAACCACGCATCTATTAAAATCAGTTCTATGAGGTTTATAATTCCCATGAAGTACTATAGACTTCTAAATATGTAGTTGAGGATCAGAAATGTTTCTATTCAATTTATCACAATTTTATGTTTTTACTCAATTTATCATAGGTATAGAACTTATACAGAGGTAGGATTTTCTTTTTAAGTGGAAACTCTATTTTCACTTGTAATGTTTATTTACCTTGGCCTAAAAGAAAGATATGCTCAATATTGCAATTGTTATCCTATTTGTAGGTTTGTATTTTTTTCTTTTCCTCCACCTTCAGGTAGACAATTACTGACCTTCACCCCTTTGTATTTTCAGCAAGGCTGAAATTAATATCAGTAATAACTGTCTCAGGTCTACACAACAAACGTCTGTTGACAACTATGTTGTGTGGCTGCCTGAGTCTCTAGACTGTAGCTGAATTAGTCTGGTACACTGGTGTTCTGCAGCGGCAGAACTAGACAGGAAAGAACTACGCCAGAGGTGGAGAGGGGCTTAGGTTACTGCACTGGCAGGATGCAGAGAGTGTAAAATGCATGCAAAGGTCTATAGGTTTACTGTTTATAGTAAAGCTTACTCTTCAGTTGCTGTAGGGTTTTTGTTCAACTTTGGTTTTCAACCCGTTTCTCAGTGGATGAATTAGGTAAGACCTCTGGACGTCATCTTGTCCAACTCCCTGCTCAAACAAGCACCAACTTAGATCAGGTTTATTTCTGTCGCTTATTACTTCTATAACTTAGAAGCATATGGCATTTCAACTTTAGAGATATACAATTAATATTAAAACTAGCTATAGAGGGTTGCAAAACTGAACTAGCATTCTTTTTGTAACTACAGGATGATGGGGTTTGATGAAGACCGAGGAATAATTCCAAGACTTTGTGAAGATCTTTTCACTCGAATAGCACAAATGGACAAGCAACAGGTAGTATGCTTATGCTATTGACCTTACATTGAATTATGAGGAAACTGATGCATTTCAGTATTTTGATACCTGTTTCATTCTTTCATTTTATACCTTAGTGCTGACCTATTTATTAATGTCTGTGTTCTCTTGCTGATTCAAATTTTATTTCTGCTAGTAGCTCTGATTAACAGGATTCCCTAAATAGTCAAAATCAACATTGTTTTGTTTCCTTAATGACAGTAATTTAAAAAAGAAATATCAGCATGATATATTTGATGTGTCACTAGACTAGGATTCTTTCCTCTGTATAGCATGTCTTACAAGATAAGATGTAAGGAAAGGTGAAAAGAAATCCTAGTGGGTTCCATACTTTCAGTGGAGGCATATAAAATAGAACTCAAAAAATATGAATTTATCTTTGAATATTGTCACGTATCAAAGTGAAATACACTTTAATAGTATTCTAATTCTAGTGTTCTAGCTCAGTATTCTTGCTGAAATTTAAAAAAAATCAACTACCCCCACCCGGATTTTTTTTTTAAAGAATTTAAAATTTTCATTGTAAATAACATTTTTTCTTCTCTGTTTTGAGAATAGATCTTTATTCATACATAACTCTACATGAAAGAGTGGTCTTCTGAGAGGGGGTGGGAACATTTCATCTGCTCACAATGTATTTTGATTTGAATTCCTGTCCTAGGGCTATGGTATGTGGATTTAAAAACAACATAGTAGTAATCCTTTCCAGAATGAAGGGTTACATTCTGTTTCTGCCCCAATTAATTGGTGTAGTAACGGTACATTTAGAGAATCATAACTGGAGACACAATTAACTTAAACTCTTGGGGGGGAAAACAAATTTAAACTACTCATTTCATGTCTTAAGAAGAAAAGATCCAAACTGAGAATGCAGGGGGTTTGTTTGTGGGAATTCTTCAGGTATATTTGTTTTTCTGTCTGACTGTTGTTGAGGCTTTTCTAAGACTGAATTTCTGGTACAGAATCACTTTTGAGGAACCAGCTTCACTACAGTATAGCGCCTGAGATTTGAATTGCGCACCTAAAGCTTTCTGTAGTATTAACACAAATCATAATTTGTGGTTAGAAACTCTGAATGTCTCTTAAAATTATGAAAAGGCTTAGAAACTTATATTTACGCTCCTTCTTGGATAAGGAGTATCTGATGCAAAACATGTTGGTGACAAGGGCTGTTCTTTGTATTCTTTTTCTCTGTATGTTTGTCCATGACTGTAAGGACTGACTCGCAGGTCTGTAGACCTTAACATTCAGTTAAGCTTATGCAGGCAAACTTTTCTATTTTTAACTATTCCAAATTTCTGTATTGCTTTATGCTTGAATTCTTGACTTTGAATACTAGTACCAGTGAACACGTAATATTCTGATCCTACAGTAGATTTGATAGACGCTGAGAAATCTGCGAAGGTTATTTATTACTGAGTTTGGCTAGAGAGTATAACTTCTAAAAAATGCAGAGCTGCTAGATATGTTTGTTATTCCTTTGCTTATGCGTTCTGAATAAGTGATTCTGTTGCTGCAAATTGTCTCGAATCTTGTATTTCTGACTTCAATGTTTTAGGTTTTTTGCTGCAATCTTCCTTGTCTCATTTTATTTAAAAAAGAAGGGGGGGGGGGAGACCTGGATACCTTCAGAGGAAGGAGATGTGTTTTCCTGAAAAGTTTGTTGTTTAGTACTGCTTTAAAATTGCTGTAGGTAGAATCAAGGTTTATCTTTCCATTAGGTCATTCTGTTCCATGTCAGGATGTTGACAACATCAATCCATGCCTTCTGTTACATGTATCATGCTGTAGAAGCGCAATCCCTAAGGGAATGAGACTACTGCAGGTGCAAACAAAACCATGTTTTCATGTACTAAAAAACCAACACTGAAAATTCTGAGGTGGATGTATATACTTTTTTTTTTTTTAAGCTTGATAGCTATCATCTAGGAATGGCTGTGGATGGAATTCCAATAAATTGTGTTCTTGGCAATAGATCCCTGGTTTAGGGTATCATTTCTCTTGGATTTCTCTGGGATCATTTCTCTAGCATCATTTCCCTTCAGTACAAATGCTTGTAACATTGAATAGCAGGATCTGGTAATCTAGGTTAACTTTTGAAGCAAAGGATGATGAAAATGTTTTGTGGACTATATTAATAACACTTGTATTATTAATTTTACTAGATTTTGTATCATCTTGAAATGAGCTTTTTTGAAGTATACAATGAGAAAATTCATGATTTGCTTGTCTTTAAAGCTGAAAGCGGACAGAAGAAACAACCAGTAAGTTGCTCACAGAAACAAGTATGTGCATAATCTCAAAGTAGAGGCATCTGTTCTGTAATCAAAAATGCACAAATGACAAGTGATCATTGTTTCGTTATCTAAGTACCTTAGATTGTTGTGAATAATGGCATTTCGGTAAAAAAAACCCACCTCACTATATGACTTCAAGCAAAATGCTTGGCACTTCAGAAATGCTAAGCGAAAAAAATAATCTTGCTGGAATAGAAACAAAATGATTCAGCAGAATCTCTCAAAATTGTTGTTAACATCTCTCCTTATTGAAGATAATCTTATCAGCCTTTACAAAAAAAATCTGAGAGTATTATTTATCTACATCTCCAGATTATATTAAGAGTTTTCTGTGCAATATAATTAATTATAATACAAGTTATAATCTTGTAATTTAGATGGAGTTCTAAAATGGAAGGATGGAGATGTCAGGAGGCTTCCAATGGTGTTTGGGGTGGGGGGGAAGTATTTGCCTAATTGTATTTGAGCCATCAGCCTCCTCAGTTCTTAGCACTACTGAAATGTCCATTCACTTTCTGAAAATATCTGTGTATAGTTGATCTGCTGGGATGCCCGTTTGCCACTGACTCTATGTATCTAACTGCAGTCCATAGTATATTAATGAAAAAATGTTAATATTTGCAAAGGGAGAATATTTCCCCACTTTGTTTCCTCTGTGTATTTACGTTGCCCAGCTACAGAAAACTACTATCATATAAAGGCTTAGCACCAAGATGGATAATATCTTTCAGATTCTTTGCCCTGGATAACTTACTGCTTAGAGCCATGGGGCTGTCAGGAAGTTCTTTTTTTTTTCCTGTTGGTTGTTTCCCAAGAAGCTGGGGGGGGGGAAATCAGTGACCTGATTAACTAGTTCAGGATGACTAGTTAAACTAGTTTAGCTAGTTTTTAATGCTTGTGTGTTAGAATATGTAAAACCATAAATTAAAGAAACTTGTGTTAAGTAGGGGATGTAGGGAAGGAATTTATCATGTTTGATTTATTAGAAAAAAAAAGTACTTTCTGTACTTTGACATATTGAATACTATACAGGCCACTCGTGTGAACTATGAGTATTAGTTTATGATAAAGAAGACACACTACATTCAACTTGCTGTTGAAATAAGTCCTTTATCCTAAACTTGGGACTTATGTGGACTAGTTACATAGAAGTAAACACTCTACTGTCTAGTTTATAGTAGGAGTGCTTTCATCTGAGTTTTGTCAGTGTTTTTGAGCTAAGCTACTTAACTTGGAAACAATAGATTTATGTTGCAGAAAAGATCCCCCCCCAGACACACACCTTACAGAAATATCTTCTATAAGATACATGTTCTTGCAGTTAACTCTGTGAGCAATGGCCTGGTGCAGCCTGCTGTGATTTCTCAGGCAGCCAGAAAAATTCAGTTGTAGGTATCTTCCTGAAAATACTGTTCTAGATGACTCATGCTAAGTTTATCATCAACAAAACATCATACTAGCGATGTAGATCGACTTTCTCTTAATTTTAAGGTATTCCTGAGTGCTAGGTCTGACTAATGCACTCCTAATAATTTTTCTATTAAAATTATTCTCACCAGCTTCGTGTAAGAGAACATCCAGTGTTAGGACCATATGTGGAAGGCCTGACAGTGTAAGTCTTAACTGTTCTCATTTTAATAGATGTATGGTGTAATCCTGGAAGAGTGTGCTAATTATTATCTTGAGGCTCTGTGAAAGCTTGTGTACTCACCAGTAAATGAGGCAAGATCTTAGTATCACATAGTTTTACAAAAATGCGTACCCATGTCTAGCTTGACTTGAGGCATTTCCTTTAGTGTATTGCTTTAGTGAAATAAGTGTGTGAAAGTCTCAAGACAAGTGGAGCTTTCATGGTATATTTGTGTTTTGTCTGTAACTGGGGAAATGTTTCAGAACTCAGGCAGCAGGGAAAACTGTAGAAAGAAAACAGTCTGAACCCAAACTTTTCTTTTTCCCCCACCTTAGGAATGTTGTCGGTTCTTACTCTGATATCCAGGTAAGAGTTATTTGGTTACCAAAAGGAAATACAAATATTTCTACTTGCTCCTTCCTTCACTGCTGGAAACTAATTCCATGGATGGGAAGAAAATGCTTTACAGACTGCCCAGTAGTCTGTGATATTTCAGCTGATTTTGTAAAAGGACAATGAAGACTAGTCCTATATAATGGAGCTAAGTAGATGCATACAGGCAAGTGTCACTCTCTTCACATGGCTATCTCTTAATCTTAAGTTTTAATTCCTCCCTTATAGAGTCATCATTTGTGTTAATAACTTTATTTGCAAACATTTTAATCTTCAGTTAACTACCCAAAGTAGGTTTTGGTTTCACATCCTGACTTTTATCTCTTACAGAGTTGGCTTGAACTAGGAAATAAGCAGAGAGCAACAGCTGCTACAGTAATGAATGACAAGAGCTCTAGATCTCATTCTGTCTTCACCCTTGTCATGACGCAAACCAAGGTATTGCTGAGTGTTTTATATCTGTTCAAATCAGGTAGTAAAAAGTTGTTTTGTGTGCTGCCTAGAAAATTGTTGTCAGAATATACTTGAAGAAGATGAGTAAAGCACGGGGCATTTTAACATGGCTTTCTACACAGCAAAACGTGTTTTATTTTGCATGCTTTGAGTAGATTCTCATGTCTCTGTGCTACATATATTTATAGCAGCAATATAAATATGTCTAGACTGGCAGATCTAGGAGTAGTTCCAAGCTTCTGAGTGTGAGTTTTGAGACGTAACTGGAATCCAAATTGAGACCAGACCTGATTTCACACTGCTACCAACACAACTTAGCTTCTAAGAAGGTTAGGCTATGCAAGGTGGATAGCTGTGCTGAGTTCGTGCAGGTGATGAGCTGGAACAATGGTAGAGGATGCAGCTTCTGCTCAGTTTCAACACAGTTCACTGAGTAAATGTTTCCTTGCTTCAGGATACCTCTCTCACCCATGTGTCTCCAGGATATAGGGACTACAACTCCTCATCTGATTTACAGATGTGTAAGAGACAAAACCTGACTTAGTGAGATGAGCCTGAAAACAGAAGTGAAATGGGTAGAAGTCCTCAGAGGTCTACAGTCTGTCAATTTTCTCCATTCATGAATAACTTGTTGGTTTGGTGGTTTTGTTGTTCTTGGTTGGTTTAATTTTCTGGCCCGATTTCCGAATCTTCTCCTTCCTTCTTCCCCTCACCATTCTCACCACTAGATTATTTCTTTTCTCTATCAGGACTAGTCTCGAGACTTTTCCACTGGCTACTTAACTGATCTTCATTGGTCTAAGTCAGTAACACTGATTTCTGTGGGTTTTGGATAGCCACAATAGTCAAACTTCAGACCCAAACCCACAGTTTGCTAATCTGTTGTTTGTGCAGTTTATGCTTATACAGTTATTCAACCGTAAACAATTGATACTATGGTTAAAAGTCTAAACTTAGTCTCCTTCAAGGGATGTACCTGAAGGTATCCTGTCAAAAAGTAAATGGAAGTGTCAATTTTTTTATGTATTTAAAGTGAACAGCTTCTTAGATTTCTGCTTGTCCTCAGGCTTTTTATTTTGGTTCGAATGCAAACATCTCCCTCTTTTCCAGGTAGAATTTGTGGATGAAGAACAATGTGATCGTAGGCTTACCAGTCACATAAATCTAATTGATCTAGCTGGCAGTGAATGCTGCTCAACAGCTCAGACCACTGGAGAAAGGCTGAAGGTAAACCAGGATTGGAAATCTGTGGAAAAGGATCGACTCTAAAGAATACCCCTAAACTCCAAAGCATCCTCAGCTACCAGGACTCTTGGGCAGAAGCTGTAGTTATAAAAGGATATGTAGCCCTTGGGCTTACAAGTATTGCATAGCATTTTGCTAGTGAGGGTTGGATGGCCCTAAGAAAAGCTGTTCTGACTGCGCAGTACGGCAGGCCACATCTTGCTTGGGACAGCACTCCCCTTGCTATGCAGGCCTAATGATGCTTTAGAAGGAATGAGGAAAAACTATCCGCATGACTTTCCAGACCATCAATCAGATATCCCGTGGAGCTGGGGCTTGCCCCTTTTTTTTGGATTTAAGTAAATAGAGTTTCTAATGAGAGATTTTCTTTTAAGCTGCCTTCATAAGTTTGATGGTTCTTAACACTGCTTATTTTAAAGCCAGGGCCTCTGTTCTTTCCAAATGAAGATCTTCTAGGATATTGTTGCATCTTATTGTTGTTTTTTAATCAGTGGTGATGTTTAATATGGTACAGCTGTACCATACATTGAATAAGCACAATTAAATCAACAGTACAGTCAATAACATCACACAAGAAAACAACTGTATTATAATTGTTTTTATTTTTGCTTTGTGTAGGAGGGTGCGAATATTAATAAATCACTGTTAACCCTTGGAAAGGTTATTTCTGCACTCTCTAAACAATCTCGAAATGGAAAGAAAACTTTCATTCCTTACCGGGAATCTGTCCTTACTTGGTATGTACACCAGAATTTTTTTATATAGAAGTAAAGGCTTTCTCAGATTGTGGATTCCTCTTCTATTGAGGAGGCATAACTTCCCTTCCTTCCCTCCCTCTCTCTCACGTGACCTTTGAAGGGAAGAAATTAGCCTGTTGCATCAGGTGAAGAACAAACAGGACTTTGGTTTGTATTTTAAGTAGCTAACAATCACTCTCAAATAAGTAGCAAGACCCTAAGTATTTTGTATTTAATCTGTTCAGATTGAGAAGTTTAATTTTTATTTCAATGTGGGGGCTGGGGATTGACTTCTACTCTCCTGTCAAATGAAGGTTGTTAAAGGAAAGTCTTGGTGGAAATTCACAAACTGCTATGATTGCCACAGTAAGTCCAGCTGCCAGCAGTACAGAAGAAACACTCAGCACTCTTCGCTATGCAAAACAAGCTTGTTCAATTATCAACATTGCTAAAGTAAATGAAGATGTGAATGCCAAGCTGATCAGAGGTGAGGTTGACATCTGCAGAGGTGAGGTTGACATCTGCAGCCTTTGAGGGTTTTTTCATTTGCATGTGTGTTTAGCTTATTGCTCAGTAAGAGCTGTTACTACTAATAATCTATTGTGTTGACTGACCACTTGTCAAATAGGTGAATACAACCCAGGATATCTTCCTTTTAATATTATTCTTCTTTGTGAGCTTTTTTTTTTTTTTTGCCAAAGTTCAGATGATATCTTAGGCTATGCTTGAGAACCTGGAATGGGGAAAGGTGTTTCATTTTTGATTAAATAACAGGATGAATTTTCTAGTATCGTACTGAAATGTCTAAACCCTATTTTGTCTTCATTTTTTGTGTACTGTGTGTCTGGTTTGTCTAATGTAGAATTGAAAGCTGAAATTGAAAAACTGAAGGCAGCTCAGAAGAGCGCTCTGAACACTGATCCTGAAAAATACAGACGTTATTTGCAGGAAGTAACATCTCTGAGGGTAAAATTGCACCAGCAGGAGAGGGACATGGCAGAAATGCAAAGGTCGGGCAGTCGTTAATGTCTTACTTTAAAATAGAAATGGTAAAATGTATACGCTGTAATTTTTCTCCTAATATGTTGTGTTATTTTCCCCTCAATATATTAAGGGCCTGGAAAGAAAAATTTGAACAAGCAGAGAAAAGGAAATTAGAAGATATAAAAGAATTGCAGGTACGTTTTCTTTCTTCACTTCACTTTCTATAGGAGATAGTACAGAAAGTATAACATCAGCAAGCCTTGCAGAAGAATTAGAATAGTTGTAAGATTTGGTTTCCTTAATGCTATTCTTTTAACAGACTACTGTGACTTCTTAGAAAAATTTAATATAGATATTTGAATGCACAAAGTAAATTGTTTTTTTATGCAGAGCTCTCTTTTATCTAGAAAGCAGGAATTGCATTCAAAATGGACAATCATTTACCAAACCTTGTCAATCTCAATGAAGATCCTCAGCTTTCTGAGGTGCTGTTGTATATGATCAAAGAAGGCGAAACTACAGTTGGAAGGTATACACCAAATTCGAAACACGATATCCAGCTTTCCGGAGTGCTAATTGCTGATAACCATTGGTATGTAGTGTTCTTTTTATACTTTAAGTGAGAGCAGGAAATACTTCTTCTCACCCTTCCGTTTCTTTTGGAGTCACTCTTCCTTCTGGCAGTAACAAAATATGGGTTTCTAACCAGGAAAATAGTATTCAGGGATAATTTTTGTACTGTTCAATTATTAAGGTAACCTCCTTCTGTTCCCTCTAGAAGTCTGTTGACCAAGGTAGTTTAATTTCTTTGTTCGTTTCATTCATGTAGCAAAATTTTCTATTTGTGCAGAAATGCTGGAGAAGGACCTGATTAATGATGCTGTGTGATAACTCTATTACATGAAGTTCAATGGAAAAGTGAAATGCCTTGACAGTTCTTACTTAAAACTAAAAGTAGAGAGCAACTTGGCTGTATTGCAGAAATATTGTTTAAAGTGCATTCCATGCAATTGATCCTAGAGAAAATGCTGGAAGAAACTTAACTAATAAATTACTAAAAACATGAAAGATGTGGGTATGTTGGGAAATTAAGCATTATCAAAGAAAGGCTCAGATGACAGGGTATTGTAGTGATATTTTAGCAGTGGATTCTTCTTAGATTTAAATATCGATTCTCTTCCAAAATACAGGTTGTCACCCATTAATTATGTATGTTGTAACTAAATAGTATGAACACAATCCACATCTGGAAAAACAAGAACAGGACGCTATCTAAAGCATGAATTTTAGTCTATTAAGAAACATCATTTGCAATTAACGTGAGCTACTGATATCGCAAACGTTTCTTGTTTTCAGTGTTATAAAAAATACTGTTGGCAAAGTGAGTATTATTCCACTGAGAGAAGCAAAGACATACGTGAATGGGAAATGCATTTTAGACCCAACAGTTCTGCATCATGTAAGTAATTGACTTGGTAAAAGAAATATGTGCGTGTGTGGATTTCTTAACCTGCGGTCTGAAGTTGTAATATTAAAGCTTTCTTAGAAGGCTCTGAAACCATAAACATTTGTCTCTTCTTCTTTGATTTCTAGCCCCACCTTTTATGTTTTAAGCACTGTAAATTTGCTTATAAATCTAAAAGAGAACAAACTTTTTTTTTCCTCCTGTTCCCAATAGGGTGATCGAGTGATCCTTGGGGGAGACCATTATTTCAGGTTTAATCATCCAGTAGAAGTTCAGAAAGTTAAAAGGCCATCTTGTGGGACTATGGTTTTGCATGATGGTCCAAAAGATTTTGAATTTGCAAAGAATGAGCTGCTTATTGCACAGAGAACACAGTGAGTACTGCATCTTCTTGTTCTAAAAATAAATTCAGTTGTTAATGCAACTGTGCAATAAGTTTAAGAAATAAGAAATTTAAGATTATTAATTATTTCACAATAAGGGAAAGTTGGAAAATAGCAAGGTTATTGTTAACTCCATTTATAATGGAAATGGAAGTCCCAGACTTAGCTGAAATGAATGTATACCTCTAAGAGGTGATCACCACAATCTAGTTCAGTTGTCAAGAATGTAGACCACTATTAAAGAAACACTGACCTCCAGAGGTCCTCAAAGTAGTGTATCTCTTCAGTTACATTTCTTTCCAAGCACATAATGAGTCTGAAATTGACTTTTGATGTTTTAGAGAGATTTAAAGCCTGAAAAGCAAATGTTTTAAGAAAAGAGAAGAACCCAAAGTTACAACCTTGGTCTTCTGTGATGGTGGAGAATTTGAGAGACAGTAAAGTGTTATTTGTACTTGCTTTGTTCCTGGGAGTTATAAAACCGCAAGGCTCTGACTTAAAATTTACTTTTCTGCATCTTAATGTGATTTAGTGAGTTTCTATTACAGTTCTTAATTTTGTTAAAGGTGCATAATAAAATAAATACAGAAATCAAGTAGACTTTAAAATTCTGGAATGTCTTCCATCTTTACGAGTGTCTACATTTTCCCTATGAAATCAAAAATATCTAGGTGAAGTATAAAAGTTGTTTTTAAAAAAACCAAAACAAACCCTCATATTTACTGTTAAAATTGGAGGCTCCTGTCGTGATAGAAGAAAATACTAGAATACTCTATGCAGCCTGTAAGAGATTAAAGCCAGCATTCTAAATGTATGATACTTCTACTTGTAGGCTTGAATCAGAAATTGAAGAGGCACGACTCAAAGCCAAGGAAGAAATGATGCAGAGTGTCCAAATTGCGAAAGAGATGGTTCAGCAAGAACTGACCTCACAAAAAGAAGCTTATGAAAGCAAAATAAAATCACTGGAAGCAGAGGTGGTAAGTTGCCATTGCATCGTTACATAGAACTTACCAATAAAATGAAACGGAAGCTGTAGTATGGGGCTTCTATTTGCTTGTTTGGGGTTTTTTGTTTGGTGTTTTGTTTTTTGGTCTTGCATATTGTAACAGTGTCTTAGGCAATGCTAAGCCTCATTCTTCTTTTTAAAAAAAAAAAATCAGCCTTGCTAACACAAGAAGTTATAAAGTATAAGGTATCCCCTTCAGAATTATTTTAGGGATTTTTGGTTTATAGAATTAGTCAGGAACTAAAATATTAATCCAGTGTGAATTTGATGAGGGTGTAACTTGTATATGAAGAAAAATCCCTACAAAATCTAACTTACGCTATGAGACTTTAAAATTACTACAGTATTTTAGTTAATATGGCTTCTTTTTTTTTCTTCCAAGTTTGCATGCTGCTTTGTTGTTAGTCTTTTGAAATACTTTTACAATATATATAAGTCTACCTAGAAGAATACATCATGGTAAAACAACAATTATGATGGAGTATTTTATTTCTTAAATGTGCTCTAGAAGACATAATGTGATGCTTGTGAACTGGGATATAACCTTTCATTGCTGACACTGGACTAGGTAGTCCACAAGGGCTGCATGTTTTAAATGTATTGAAGTGAAAATAAGTCTTAATATCTGCCTAAGGGATGGATCAGAAATGCTGTAGGAGTGGTACACCTCCTCTCATCTGTCCTTTTTTATGTTAGAGAGAAGAATCTCGTAAGAAGCAAATCCAAGAACTGAATAACCAAAAAGCTGCAACTAAAATACAGGAGCTAGAGAAGGCAAAGCAAAATCTTGAGCTAGAACTACACTTCAATAAGAAGCGTTTAGAAATGGAGGCCTTAGCTACCAAGCCGGTAATTGGAAGGAGGAAAAAAAAAAAAAAGCTTTTTGTGATAAACTGTGGTTTGTTTTGTGTGTTGTTTTTTTTTTTTAAATAAATCTTTGTAAGTGGAATGTTTCTGAAGTATTTTTCTACATGATTTTATGCAAAAGAACAGAAGTTTTGTTTACACTTTGAATATGATATTGTATTAAATTTGGGGATAAACTAATGCTGACCTTATTTCTTATATAATGTGGACTGTTTTGTTCATGTACCAAACTTTAGTGACCATTGCCTGTGCCAAAAGTTATGACTCCAAGGATTAATGTAAGTAATGCCTGTGTTTTTGCTGGTGTTCATATATATCTGACTGCTGCAACAAATATGACTTTTTAAAGTTGTTTCTTTTTAATTCCAGTATTTTTTTTAAGCGTGTCAATATCTAAGCAAAACCAGAAAACTGTCAGAGTTTGAAGACGGAGGGTTTCATATCGATATGGCAGATGTCCAATATAAATTTCATTCTGTTCTGAGACTCCATAAAATGACAGCAACAAACAATTTTGCTTAAATACACAGAATTCAGAGTTTGGGATTTTTTTTTTTTTCTTCCCCCAGGCTCTAGAAGATCATACTATTCGTCATGCAAAGATACTTGAAGCTCTGGAAGCTGAGAAGCAGAAGATTGCTGAAGAAATACACACCCTTCAGAAGAATCGTGGAAGTGGGAATAAAACTATAACTAGTACGTATATACACAACGTTGCAAGGGCAATGCTGACTTCTCTTTGCTTGGTGGGCTTGGATTTAGTGGATATGGATCCAGAAGCTCTTTCTCTTCCTCTAATGCTTCTCTAGCGATCCTAAACAAGAAGAGCCTTTTGGCTGCTATGATCCTTTCCATTCATAACCCGTATATATCGGACAGTGCTAAAAGCTCTGTTTTAATCATGCTCAGGGTGGTTAGCTGGATATACAGATAGTCTGTATTTACCCCGATTACTTAGAAGTTCTTCCCCCATCTGGTTGAACTAGTTAGGTGTTAACTCATTGGGGAAACTGGAGTAACAGAATTGATTCTGTTTAGTTTCCTATCTCAGATTAGTCTAATATATAGTGTCTGGTGTTATGCCTCTATTTCTGAAATACCCTTTACCTGACCTTTTATAAAGGGGTATCTTGGCTGGGAGGGTAATTTTTTCCCAATGTATTGGGAATTCACAGAACTGTTGTAGGCTAAATTCCGTTCAAGGTTTTTGGTTGTGGTTTCTTTTTTTGCCCCCC